GAGTCAAGTCTGAAGTCTTTAACCTGGAGTCCAAGTCAAGTCTGAAGTCTTTGTCGCTGGAGTCTGAGTCAAGTCTCGAGTCTTTGGTCACGAGTCCGAGTTGAGTCTCAAGTCATTTAATGGCTCGCAAAAAAAAATCCCATTCAGAATCCTCATATATTGAAATCTTCCTATTTACGAAGCTGTTCTATAGGCTATAGACAAAATATATGATCTATGATCTGCTTTTTTAAAAAAGTGGTGTTAAGATGTAAGGTTAATGTACATCCAGCCTGTTACTTGTATGTTTTAATCCATTATCATGTTCAAAACAGTTTTTCTGTTATCAAATTCTACAGGAGTCCTATGTATACCATTACACATAAGGAAATATGTGACACAGATATTACAAAACCATACAAATAAATTATTTCTTTTTTATATAAGTCAGGGGTATTCAATTAAAGTTCCAAGAGCCGCGGCCTCTATATTTTCTTCCAAGCAAAGGTCCGGACAAAAAAAAAATTACATGCATTGTATTTTTACATTTGGATACATGCGAGGCCATGTGACAAACAAATACTGTTTCTGTTCAGGCTTTTCCTCCTGAAATCGATACTATTTTAATAATTTACTTAAAAGCATTATCTACTAAAAATATCTACAATAATCAAAACGTTCTCATCTTGAGCAGAAAAGAAAGATAACCAGCATTTTCAAAGTTTAAGTTCTAGCATTCTAACAACAATTTCCTAATTATAATTACATGATTCTTTTGAAATGTTCTTAGCTTACAGATTAATAATGCTAAATGTAGATCAGAAACGTCTCGCCACATCTGATTTGAAAAGGTTATAGATAGATAAATAGATAGTAAGAAAAATAACTATATTCGCAGCATTGTTTTTTTCCTGCTGTGTTTTAGTGAAAGTAATCTATAATTTTGCTGCTCTTCGTGTTTCTGTTGTTGTTAAAATAACCGCGTTGTTGGATGCCGGGGTGCGGATGCGGTCCGCCAAATATCAGTTATATAAGGATCAAGACTCGAGTTGCTTTTAAAATATTCACGAGTCCTTTTCCTCGAGTCGAGTCAAGTCTGGAGTCATTTCAGGTTGAGTCTGAAGTCAAAGCTGAAGTCTATAAAAATGCGACTCGAGTACGACTCGATTCCGAGTCACTAACTCGAGTGCCCATCCGTATTTTAATAAAGGGGCTCACTCTTTATTGCTCAGTCAGCTTGTTTCTGGTTCTCAAAACCCCCAAAAGCTTGTTCTCCATCATTGCATACTCATTGATGAGACATGCAGATACTGATTTTTGTTTGCTGGGGTGGTAATATTATATAGGCCTATTAATAAGGGGGCCCAAAAAATTGTTTTACCTATGTCACGATAAGAGGTAAATCCGGCCCTGCATAAAACACAACCATAAAACAAAACATGAACAAATTTTATCTCAGAGTCTTTCCCTTACCTGCAAATACCTTAACTTCACACAAAGTGAGGTATTTCCCATGCCCAGGAAGAAAAATGTTGACAAATCTCCCCTTAACAGTCTTAAAATCAAATGTTTTTGTGCCTCCAGATCAGCATTTTGAGCAGCTCCTAAATGATTGTATGTGGAAGACTGGACAGCTTCAGCTCCAACAGCGAGATTTTCTGTTCAACATAAATATATATATATATGAGATAGAGAGATAGAGAGAGAGAGATACATAGAAGTTTTCAATAACCACTAATTATATTTCAGTCTATAATTGTAAATAAATTAATTTCATCATAATCAATAGCTACTGAACTTCTCTGATTCTTGAATTCAGGCATTTTTACTTCTATTATTCTAAACTTACCTGTCAAATCAGCAATGCACAGCCCAGGAAAAAGTGTGAGCAACAAAATCACAAGGTCACCCATCCTCACCTAAGATATAATACAACACATTGACTGAGTCTATGCTTGTTTTCTGTCTTATCTATTTTTTTAAGTCATCACATGTCACAAAGTCAGCGCAGTGTCTTTTTGCTGTGACACTAGGCAAAATACAACAGCTTAACCTTCAAGTGATTGATTTCCAGATTTGAAGTGTTACATATTCACTTGTGTGTTCCACCGATGGTGGTGGGAAAAGAGCTATCATGATCCTTACCTGTCTGTCCTCAGTGTAAATGTGTTTGAACCAGATCAACATGGATGAGTCAGTGCATTGCTCTTTATGTGGTTTGCTCTTTGCTCTTCTATGCGTAAGTGTTTGTGGAGGATGTGTTGCAAAATCAGATAAACTATTTCAAATTACTCACGTCTGTTCTAAATAGATAAGTAAATGACACCCACTTCTGATGTCAAATTCCCTTTTTTAATTTAGCAAAGAACTTTAAAGGAAATAAGTGAAGTTTCACTTTTTCTGAATTGCTAAAACACTTTTCTTGAAACCATCACTAATTTTCTCAAAACCTTAAACACAAATCCAAATACTCAAACTAAATTCACAAAACCTCTGACTCTTCCATCAAAATCAAACAATCACTGCATAACCATTTCACTTGCACTCAAAATCAAACGGTGCTCTCAGATCACACACACATGAGTCAATAAAATAAACACTACGGAGCATTTATTAGACACTACAGAGAAAAATGGAGAACACAGCATCCAGAACATTACAGAAAAAAGTATAAGGTATTGTGTAAACAATTTTGCAATTCTGTAAAAAAAGTATAGTACAGTTTTTCTCGATTGCTTAAACACATTTCTTGAAACTGTGACTCCTTTTCTCGAAACTCTAAAGACAAACCCATAACTTCTCACCCAATTCCTCATACTTCCTATTTTCAGGTCAAAATGAAGCTCTCCACTCAAAACTATTAAATCTTGCTGAAAAAAACTAACTTCGCCCTCAGACATGACACACAAGCCCTCAGAAACACACACACAACAACATAGTCTTACACACTAATGAGATCAATTCATAACACTGTTGCAAAAACCTTCTTTTGGCAATCAGGTATCATTTTACAGCTCAATGTCTATTACAGTATACAACATAATTAGAGCAGATACATGTTACAGTAAATATAGCAGATACAGTGAAATTCAACAATAAGCTTTACAGTAAGAAAATATTACTGTATTTTCATTACACTGCTGTAAAGAGATCTTACAGTACAGTAGATGAAAAGCACTAGAAAGGAAAAGGTCAAATACCAAAGAATTGCATATGAACACAACAGAATATAGAGTCATCTCTTAGTCCTGCAAAAATACAGTACATGTAAGAAGTACTGTACTTGGCTACAAATCAGTTCAGCAGTTATGAGTTTGAGGGTGTACAACCTGTTCTTCAGTATTTACTGTACATATATATAAAAAGTAAAACTTCTCTCATCTGAAGTACTGCTACTGTTCTGTCATTATATTTTATCTGTAAGTAGTATTGAAAGTCTGTAGATGAGCCTGTAGGCCAGCTGTCCTCATGCACAAGAACATGATCAACTATAGTGCTGTGTATTTCATCAGGAATAAATGTCCTTTGACCCCGTCCCTTCAGTTTTCATTTCCCCTCCTCTTCCTCTTTGTCTCTCACTAGTAGGATTCATTTTCCAAATCACCTGTGCTCCTTTTTATACCATCCTGAGATTCTGACTGCTGTGCTGGAAAATTGTGCCAAACGAATCAGTTATAGTGTGTTAGCAATTGAGAAAAACTGTAACTGCAACTGAGTAAGGTGAATATATCGCATAGGCCAACTGTATGTACTGCAAGAATAGTATTGTGCTGAATATTGAATAGTACTGAATGTTTGTATGTATTCAGCACTTGGATACTGCAAAAATACTGCAGTCCAACTGCAAAGGCCAAAAAGGTCAAATAAAATTCTAAATGAATAGCATGTTAGTTACAGTACACTCAAATACTGTAAGTTGTGTAATTGTAAAATCAGGGTCAATAGAGATTCATTCTGTCTCAGCATCATGTCTTTGTGCTTGAGTCCGGCCTGAGGACTTTGTCCACATCACAAGTAAGGTTGTCGTTTTTGCTACCGGCCTGAGGACTTTGTCCACATCACAAGTAATGTTGTCTTTTTTGCTAGACAAAGAGAAAAAACCCTCTGGTCTGACAGATCTAGCCTTGATAACACTCTCTAAACCGTACTCATTCTCTTTCTCTCTCTCTCCTCATCCTCCACTTCTTACATGTACTCTTCCTCCTCTCCTTCTCAGATTGTTTCCATCTATTGTTCGTATCATCATTCAGTCACCTGTGCCACTTGTGCACTCTGAACTGGCTCATATTTTGTACAGTTGGTTTGATCACATCATTAGAAACAAGTGTGAACAATTTTGAATCATTGTGTGTAAACGATGACAACTGTGCTTTAGTTGTGTTTAATTTTTGCCGCTTGTGTTTAGCATTTTGCAGCACAAATGCATCACAGTGTGATAAGTGTTTAAGTGAATGAGAATGTGTTTAGAGTTTTGCAAAAAGAGTGCATGAGATTTGCAAATAGAGCCTAACTGCCTGAATGTATTTAAGGTTTAGCAGAAAGAGTGCTTTATTCGACAAATTGATTTAAGCTAGTGAGAATTTGGTCCAGAGATTGGGGTTTAATGTTTTAGCAATTCAGAAAAACTGTAATAGGCCTACTTTAATTCAGCAAGGATATGTCAAAAGAATAAAACATGATAGCAAAGACTTATATTATTACAAAAGATTTATATTTTGAATAAATGCTGTTCATTTTAATCTTCTTTTTATTCATCAAAGAATCCTAAAAAAAAAGTATCACACATTCCAAAAAAAAAAATAAAAAAATAATAATAATTTTGTTTTTTTGTTTTTTTTTCACCACAGGAATAGATTATAGGCTATTTTAAAGTATATTAAAATAGAAAACCTTTATTTAAAAGTATTTTACAATATTACTGTTTTTACTCTATTTTTGATATATAGCCTATGGAATGTTTTACATTGAAAACCAACTAACATGAAGCAAATAATACATTAATTCCATTACTATATTGTAAAGTTTTATTGAGAACATAATTTTTATTATTTAATAAATTAACAACGTAATTTATATATATTGCCATTGTAGTGACAGTAAGAGCATTTGAAGCATCTGAAAAAGAAAGGGCTCGTCCGGGATTTGAACCCGGGACCTCTCGCACCCTAAGCGAGAATCATACCCCTAGACCGACGAGCCTCCCGTCTAGAATTCTGGAACAATTTTCTTTCAGCACAAACCTGCCACGTTTAAAGTAAAATCTGTATTTACGTGTAACTGTGAGACTCTGCCGGGTGCTTGTTACTGCCACCCAGCGGTCACACACTAAACTGCGTTCATTGGAAGCTTTTCTTCCACCTCTAGCTATGACCAGCACAAAGCACAAAACAAATTAGTGCGTTATTTACAAGTACACGGGATTTTCAAAAATAATATATGGTTACTCGTATGATTTGTTCGTAACCATATTATTAATAATGCAATTCGGATATTTCGATTCTTTTGAACAGTTGGTATCAAACTGCTTAAACGATTTGGGCAATTCATAAATTACATTCATAATGCACATTCTTTGATAAACTTAAAAATGAAAATAAACAGCTGCAATAGTACTATCCCCCTCCATTCCCACCCGTTACAGACGTCGCGCATGCGCACTACTCAAACGGAAGGCTCTTCACTCCAGAGCGGAAGTGCTTTAGTTCTTTTTCTACCACGGTCTGCCATCATGGTGAGTGAACTCACTTACGCAGTCTAAAATCAAGCAAATCTTGTGTTTTTTTTAAATATTACAGACCAAGGATACATCGGAAACGTATTTTAATAACACAATGGCCCCACACATAATATGATTGTAGTAGAAGTGAACCTTTTAGCGCTATCGGTGAGAAAATGAGCTTCAGACATGTCTCGAAACAACGTGGTGGAGTGGGTTAGGCCGGAGTTACAGCAGATACAGACCTATCAGATTGTAGACTTGTGTTTCATATTTATTACCAACAAATGATGCTAAGGTTACGAAAACCCAAAGATGAATGAGTTTTAAAACTGGAATGCCGTGCTTCGGTCGGTCTCATTCTTCTGTAGGCATGTGTGATCAATTAGCAGGACAGATGTACTGTGGATATAAAGCTAGGGACTTTTGGAAAGGGAGAAACTGGCTAAAATATACTTAAAGTCAGATATAATTGGATGCGCCCAAAGCAATGCCAGTCGTTAACTTTACTTCTGCTGTTTGAACTGAACATGCATCAATACTCTTCTCTTGTTTCCTGTATTTTGATTCCCAGGTGTTTAAGCGCTTTGTCGAGATCGGCCGGGTTGCCTTCATTGCTTTCGGTCCTCACGAGGGCAAACTGGTGGCAATTGTAGATGTCATTGACCAAAACAGGGTGAGTTTTGAATACTGCTATATTTTATATTGTGAAGCGTACAACCTTCATTTCACATGAAAAAGCTTCATGAAAGCACGTCATGGTTAAATCACTCATGGCAGATTTGTAGAGTCGTAACTTGAGCTTGTTTTAAATTCTCTGTAGGCACTGGTAGATGGCCCATGCACTGGAGTGAAGAGACAGGGGATGCCTTTCAAGTGCTTGCAGCTCACTGACTACGTCATCAAAGTACCTCACAGGTGAGCTTATGTGCCCGGAGCGTTTATTTCATGCTTTATGAGTACATATATTTTGCTGATCTCATTGTAGTAGTAGTATTTGATTATCAGTGGTTCTTGTGTATCGCAAAATTTTGCTCTGCTTTCAAATGTCAAAATTGATTTCTTGTTTTCTCTAAATTGTGTGCTAACATTTTACACCAATTTCAGAAATTATTGTAAAACTTATTTGAAATGCGCTCTTTGGTTTTTGCTACTTTTTCCACTTCGAGGTGCCTTTTAGTATAAAGTCTCTTTAAATATATTTGTACTTTCATATTTATGTTTAAAAAAAGATCTGATGCCTTCAGGCCACTTAAATGCCTCTGTATTCAACAATCTGTTAACTAGATTAACTTTGTTTTATTTATTTTTTAAATTAAACATTTTTGTCACTTTTGGTGGTATATTTGGCCTGAGCCCTTGTTAATTTGTGCCCATTTCACATATCACCTCTGTTTTGGTTTGCTTCAGTGCCCGTCAGAAGTACGTGAGGCGTGCCTGGGAAAAGGCAGAGATCAACAAGAAGTGGGAAGAAAGCAGCTGGGCTAAGAAAATTGAGGCCAGAAAGAAGGTATGTTATAGAGCCGGTTGAGATCTCTTGCACTCATGCACAGTTGTTAGTTGGATGAAGATTGTTTGTGTTGTGAATGAAAGGCATCTTCTAGCCTGATCTAGCAATTTCGAGGTTGCGTCTTAGGACTTTTGCAGCATGCTTCATAATTATTTTTTTTCTTACCATGCTAATTTTCTTTTAACAGAGGGCCACAATGTCTGACTTTGATCGCTACAAGGTGATGAAGGCCAAGAAAATGGTATGTTTTGTTGGACTGTAATACAAAAAGAATTTGTGGTGTATATGATGCTGCAGTGTCAGAAGATATGATTACAAATTAACCTGTTTTTTTTTTCTCTCCGCAGAGGAACAAGATCATCAAGCATGAGTTGAAAAAGCTGCAGAAAGCTGCAGCACAAAAGAAAGCATAATCTATCTTAAATAAACGTGTTTGACTTGTAAACTCGTAAATGTGTGTTGTTTTGTCCATTGTCTTATGGATGATTTTGAAGCTGGTTTTGTACTGGTGGGGAAAATGTGTTCACGTGTGCCTTTTTGATGAGTTTACACTGTTCTTGATTTCATGTGAAGACAGAAATGGAAAATACATGGCATAGATTGATACATATGATTGTGCAACATGAATACAGTGGTAACATGCATGCATTAGTTAGGAATGAATATGTTACACTAAGGTCTCAGTTGTTAACATTACTTAATAGATTAGCTAACAATGAACTATATTGTTTATACAATTATTAATCTTGATGCTAATAAAATAGATGTTCATGTTAGTTCACAGTGCACGGTGTAATGAAAATGTATTTAATGTAAATATAAAAGTTAATAAATGAAATATTGTTAGTTCATGAGGCAACCATAAGATGAGGACATTTAAGGTTTCATTTAATTATATTAGTTAATGCTACTTATACATCTAAATGTTATTGTTCATATCAACATTTTTTTTTTTACAGCGTTCCAATCTAGGTTAATGCAAGTTATTCATAAATGCAATACAACTGTTCATTGTTAATAATACATTAAGATTTCTTAATGTTAACCAATTCTACTTTATTGTAAAGCATTGCTAAAACAATTAGGTACTTTCATCAGACCAGCATTTTTATAGTATTCACGTTAATGTCAGCTATATACTTCCATTGCAAAAGTTTTATTAATTTTATCCTGACTATATATAGTAACTGCTTAATCACAATTGTAACTTCAGCTTGCGCTTCATGTAAAGCATTTGGACACATGAGAAACAATTTCAGCTGTTTTACTTTGCTGGTACCACATAGCTTACACAGACATGACTACAATCGGCTATTTAGTTGCCATAGTTTATATAGCCTACATCACCTATGAAAGTCTTTAAAATTATACTTTATGACTTAAGTATCTTGTAACTCTATTAGAAACTCACAAAATGACCATGACACTTTAACACAATTGAGTGAAATTAAACTCCCTATTTTCTGAAAAGAAAACTAATCTGTTGAAATGCTTCCAGTTGTAAGTCTAATAAAAATGATTTATTTTTGTGTGTGTAATGGGCTCCTAATTGTAAATGAAAACAAACCTGACAGTTAAAAGGCTAATTTTATTAATATTCACAATTCAAATCATGAGATTAAAAAAATAATAATGTAACAGTTGAAAAAATAATGCAAAGGTTTAGACATACAGCACTGTAATTCTATGAAGCTGGGCAGAAATCATGCTACAAAGGCCTAACAAGTCACATCAGTTATTCAGCGACAACCCACAAAAGACTCATTATATAATTCCATCTTTTTAAGTGAACTTCGACGGGAAGTGGGATTCTGTTTGAAGATGGGGGAACGTAGGAAACGGATGTCTGTAAATTTGTCACCACGTCGAAGTTTCCTAAAAAATAAAAAGTGTGTACGAAAAGATCATGCCATAAGCTTGAAAAATATTACAATATCAGAAAGAAGAATACCAGGCACTTCAAACTATTTAAAGTTTCAAAGAACTTACGAGTTGATTGAGGGCTCCTTGTAGTTGACAGTACTCATACAGCGGCGCTTACGAGTGGAGCTTTGAGGGGTGTTTTGAGCAGACATGGGCTTCTGATAGGCTGCGGGGGAGAGATTTGTCACATCACTCAAACCCAAGCCCAGAAAGGAGCGAACAACCAGCCCACCTGCAGAAACACAAGTGCATGTGTGTGACAAACTAATTTTCCTTCTACCACTCCTGGAAAAAGTGACCTCAAGAAATGTGACATTGGTGAGTGAATATTTAAAGACAGGTACACATACATGCAGTGAGAAACAAGAGATTGATACAAGATACAAGAGCTCCTCCAGCACATTTTGGTGGAAATGTGCCCAGATCAACAAATCTAAAGTCAAATAGAAAGACAAGCAACAAGGATTTTACCTTTTCTTCTGCCTTTATTCACCAAAGCCATTTTATTTTCCTGGTTGGATGAGTTACTAGGGTGCTTTGGAAATTCAAATATTGGGCAGTCAATCATCATAAGCTCTACCTCTCCACCAGGAGTAATCGGGATCGGAGACTCCACAGAAACAGCAGAAGGTGGCGCTACGGGAAATTATTTCCATTGTAAAAACAGGGTTTTTGTAGATTTAATAAAGACAAATGTAAGACTTTTTAAGACCAAGTAAAGAAAATTCAAGGAAAATGTAAAGAAATATTTCCATTGTTAAAACGGGTTATAAAGATAAATGTAGGACAAAATAAAGAGAATTTAGGGAATACATTGAATGGACCACAATACGTCAATATGGTCTCTAAATGTAAATAGCTTGTATTAGCAATGCTTCGAAGTTTGAAAATGCAGTTTCCAGATCTCCATTACTTTTTAATTCATTTTGCAAAAAAGACTTTAATGAATACCTCTGCTCTCAACCACTAGAATATGGAAATAACTTTTTCTGTGCCTTCTGATCACACTGCAAAATATGTTCTTCATCAGTATTTTTGTCTTGTTTTCCAGTGCAATTGTCTACAGATTCTTAAATCAAGATACATTTACTTGAGAGGCAAAATGACAAGATAAAAAGTCCTGAGTGAGTTTATGATTAAAACAAGATCAAGTTAATTCAAAGGGAAAACAAGTTTTCATACCACATTGACAGATATTTGTTCGTGTTTAAGCATAAACGTATTTTGTTCAGTTTCTCAGAAAACAAGACTTCAGATCTTCAATTTGCATATATGCTTGCATTGGAAAACAAAACAAAAATACTGAGGAAGATATACAATTTTTTTTTGCCGTGCATGCAACATTTAATGCTAAATTCCTGTCTAAATTTAAGAGTTTCTGCTCTGATTTAAGACCTTTTAAAGCCTTAATTAGTAGAAGGGAGACTCAAGAAGACCTTTTTGAAACCTGCAGAAATCCTGAAAAATGCTTCACTGAATAAATGAGAATTCTTTATAGTTACTGCTTTCTCTTCTTAAATTATTTTATCTTTAGATTTATAAGTCTACCATTAGATATCATTAACAATTAAAAAAGTAAAAAAAAAAGAAAAAGTTTAGTGTTTCCACACACAAAGTTACCTTGGCAGATCTCTTGGCTTGGTTCTGATTGGCTAGGATTTTCAGGAGGAACACAAACTGGTGAATGTGGGAGCAGAAGGCCTGGGCCGAGATCATCGCTGAGGTGCAGACCAATTTCTTCAGTTTCAGGCCTACTTTTTTCTGTAGAACATTAAACAGATTAAAACAAATAAATGTAACATTTTCATATATTTTTAAAAAACACTGTATACTTACCTCTGTGCTGTATTTCAACATGGTCCTGCTTTTGGGAAGTATTTTCTTTTCCTCTGTTTTCTCTGGCCTCTTGAACAGACCACCTTTTAGAGCGAGCCCGTCTGGGTGGTGGACTACGAGCTCTTTTGGATCTCCTCTTTGGTACATAAGGGGAACCATCTGCATCCTGTTCATCTTCTGAGAGGCTGTTGTTGGATTCCATGGCAACAGGACTGGGCAAGACCTTGTCCTCTTTATCCGGAGCATCAGGTGATGGTTTCTCCACAGCTTTGGTTCCTGCTCTGAAAGGCGTTAGATGGATGGCCTCTTCACAGTCAAAGTCAAAGGTGTCATTGCCACCCAACGAGGAGTTAAGGCGATCGGCAGGTGGAAGTGCCGCTCTTGCACGACTCTGACATCGGTCCCGGCTCTTGGAGCGAGCACGGGGTTTGGGGTTTTCCCATGGTTTCTTCAACGGGGCTCGGTCTGGTTTGCGCCCCCGCTCTGGTTTGGGGCGGGGAGCGGCTTGGGTAGGTTTCTTCTTGGGCTGTCTGGTGGTCCGCTGGGGGGGCTCAGGCGTCGAGTGCTGAACAGCTGGAAGTTCAGAAATCTCTAGGTTGAACTCACAGTTCGGCCCTGTTTTTTGTCCAGCTTGGTCCTCATTAAGCTCTTCCTGTTCATTACACACCTCCTCCAATGGTGTGTTTAGCCCCACCTCTTGTCTGTTATCAATAGTCTCTTCTCTTCTCACATCCAATATGTTACATTTCTCGACAGTGCCAGAGTCAAAACGTGAGCTTCGTCTCCTCTCAATCTCAGAGTGTCTCTTTCGCCTTGTTCCTACTGTGGGGGGCAATGAAACCTGTCTGTCACTGCGACAACCCGAAACAGCCTCTGCAAACAAAGCAGTAAAGAATAAAACTACAAACATACAGACTGTTCATAGTATTCAGCAGTTAAGGTGATAACTACATACAGTCCAGTACCTGCAGTAAAAGGTGGTTCTGCTGAGTGATGATCCTGGATAGTCTCAATCACATGTACTGGTCTGTGCCACAATGACAGTAACAATATTATCTTCGGTAAGTTGAACGAATCATGAAAAAAAGCTGTATTTTGATCAAAATGGGTTCTCTAATATACATTTATTTATTTACATTTTTATAAACAGAGTGGTATACAGAGTGGGTGGTGTGCTATTGCTACAAATATACCCAAGCGATTTAAGACTGGTTTTGTGGTTCAGGGTCACATACTGTATATATATATATACATATATATATATATATATAGTTTAAAAAAAATAATTATTTCAAATAAATGCTGATCTTTCGAAATTTCTATTCATCAACAAATCCTAAAAAATATTAAACGGCAAAATTATTTTCAACAGATAATAATAAGAAATGTTTCTTGAACATCATATTAGACTGATTTCTGAAGGATCGCGAGACTCTGAAAACTGGAGTAATGGCTTCTGAGAATACAGCTTCGCCATTACAGGAATAAATTACATTTTTATAATATATTAAAATACAAAAGCATTATTTTAAATTGTAATAAAATTTCACAATATTGCTGTTTTTTATCAATAAATCAAGCCTTAGCCTTGGTGAGCATAACAGACTTCTTTTAAAAACATTTCAAAAATCTTACTGACCCCAGATGTTATAATACTTTTTATTAAAAGCTTTAGAGCTACAGATTTGCTCTTGCTT